CCCCCCCCCCCCCCCCCTCGCCAGCCGCGTCCCCGCGCCACCCTAACCCCGCCCCCGCTCCGCACCCACCCAAGCCCTTCCCCACCTGCCCCGTCCCCGCCCCCGCAGCGCAACCTGCCCAGCTGCCTACCGGCCCAGCTACCAAATCAAGGGCATGCAAACAGTTGTCCTTTCGGGCCTTCGTATTCCAACGGCTGTCTCCATTGACCTTTACCAGCGGACAAATCGAAAAGATAAGAAACATCAAGAAACAAAGACAGAGAAAGAAAGAGAGAGAAAGAGAGCGCGAAGGAGTCCGCGCTTCCTTTGTTGTGGCAGTGGATCAATCTAGCCATTTTTTTTTGCACTTTGGTGTGCTTTTTTTGGATTGCGTCAACTTAGCCTTTTTTTTTGCATTTTTGGGTTGCTTTTATTTTGGATTGTTTTTGCATTTTTTCAAAGTGGGCATTTCCTAGTGGAAGCCCACAAGAAAACAACACAAGAGAAGAAGTTCAACTCAGTAACGGCGCCCCGCAGGGTTCACACAGCTCACCACAGTGGGAAGAAGCTGCGAATCACACTTGAGAAGAGTGCTCCGTAGAGCGTAGTTTCAGAAATTCGCAGTGAACATTCGCCCTTTACCTTATTGCATTTGCCGAATTACGTGCAGGAAAACAACGCAGGAGACAGCGTTATGCAACACTTAGGTTCACAAAGAGTGAATTCGCAGTGAACATTGGCCCTTTAGCTTACTGAGTTAGCCGAATAACGTCCAGTTATGTTCACAAAGATGGATTAAAATGCAGGTACACACAGTTGATCAGACTGTGCATCCAACGATCAAGCATAGCTTTGTTAGCCAGCGTTTGCTTGTCGGCCGCTGGCCCCCTGCATCTGTACAAATAGAGTAAAGTAGGTTAGTGTCCCTTGGAACGGGGGTTGACACACACACACACACACTATATATGAATATATATGGTTCACTTATAGCATTTATGCCACTTCGATTTGTTGACGGTTGGCTTTATGGAAGCACGCGAGAGCTCGCTTGTGGCTGTTTGCAAGCCATTCTGTTCGCATACCTAGACAAGATCGCAAAGCTGAGGCTTTTGTCACCACCTGTCACCTGAAGACTTCCGCATGCGCTGGGAATTGGTCGCTGCTCCCCACCAAGCACGGGCCCATTTGGCACAGTGCTTTGGCATGTCCACTTCCTTCGATTCTCTTTTTTACTGGTGGTGATGGGGGTGATTTGAAATACCGCGAGAACCGTGTTCCTTGAGGAAGGCGGCTGCAATGCAAGAGTACGAGATCCTTGGCTCAACTACGGTAATTAAGGACTTGTTCTTGTTATTTCTCAAGAATCGAAGTCACGTGAATTCGTTCTTTTTCATGTGCTAATTTTCTCATTGCCTTCAGGGCGGAGTTCGTGCGCGAGCTCCTGAGCGAACAAGATGAATTGCAGGAGCGTTTGAAGGAGATCGAAGATACTTTGAAGCTCTTCCGCACGCAGCCCGCCTACTGGGACATCTCCTCCTTGTCAATGGCCCGGGATGCTGTCGAGAGCCTGTGGGAGAGGATTGAGCTGGCTCAAGAGGCCGGACGTTCAGCGGTTCACCGATCCGCACCGATTTGCCTCGCCCCCAAAACGGCTAAATGGATCAATGCGGAAATAGTCCTCAACAGTTGATCCGCGCCGTCGGTCTTTAGGGCCTGTCGAACTGGAGGACCATAGCTGCACATTTGACTGCTTCAAAATTTCTATCGTTACGATGGTTAACACTTAACGTTCTAGGTATTATCACAGAATCATATATAATGTCACGGTTCTGGAATCAGCATATGGTGTGCTTTGTCCGATGAAAAATTGCTCCGATGTGTAGGATCGCATCTCTTGGGTTTTGGTGAGCGGATGGACTTGCATAACATGAGGCAGGCACCCACAAGGCCAACCGCTAACCTTTACTTCAACACCCACACAGAAGATTTACCGATGTTGCTGGTTACTATCGATCATAAGTTGTTATGTTGAGTCTGAGCAGTCGTTGTTTATTCAGGTAATGAACCTGTCGCTTGTTTTTAGTTGCTGTTGACAGTTGAACTCTTTTGACCTGTTTTCCGGGTTTCTGCTGTATGAATGAACATTTGCGGCCTCTGGACTTGTCATTGCATTTGTGTTCATTGTCGCCCTTAAGCTTTTGTATCAAAAGGTCACACGAAAGGGTTGGACAATTATGGATGCCGGGTGCCAGTCAAAGGCAGACACTGGCACCCCTTAGGAATTTGGTCAGTGAAACTCTCCCTCGACTTTCCGCAGTGTCACTCAATCAAAGACAGTATATATATATATACATATATCATGCAAAATGATGCAATCATCCTTGATTGCAGGATGCACAGAAAATCAACAAGAAGGAGGTTGTGCTCGAGAGGAAGACTACGGACTACTCCCAAATTCATCATTTCTCGATGACTCTCAACCCATTCTACCAAGTCTGGGCAATAGTCCATGGCTCAGCGCATAGTGACATCAATGTCGCAGGTAAATGTTGCTTGTTGGTTTTGTTGCAACTTTTGAGGTCTATGGTTTTCATGAAGATGAAGCCAAGTGGCAGTTGGGAGCCATTGAGGACAAGGATGCGCTGAGACGAAAGCTCTTGCAGACATGTCAGGTCTTGGAGAAGGTGCTTCGCTCAGTGCAGCGCCTTCTTACCCGTCGATGGCGTTGTTTGCGTCGTTTTCTGGGTTTGTTGTTTCTTTTGCATCTCGCTCAGACGGTGAAAAGTCTTCAGATGGGCAACTGGCCTGCTCCGATAGTGCAGCTGGCAACCCGGCTGATATTAACATTCGTGAGGCCAATACATGAAGACAGGAACTCTCGAAGGCAGAATTTTGAATCGCATTGTCACGGGACTCCTCCTGAAGCTGAGGGTGAACAGCAGCTTCTGAAAATGGAGGAGTTCCAGATTCTCCTTCTGAGTGTGGATCACCCTCACCATGAACCAGATGAGTCTGACCATGACAGAACCGAATGATTTTAAAGAGACTTGGTTGACCCAAGTTTCAGTTGAAGCATTCCAGGAGCCTGAAGTGCCCAGTTCGGCACTCAAAAACCGTGTTGATATGTGTTGATAGTTTTTGTTTCACTGGGTAGTTGATGCAACTTTTGATGCTGTATATTTTTCGCCCGTGCTTACTTGAATGTTTGCTCATGTTTGCCCTTGAGATTTCTGGAGAGATAAGAGCTTCGAGCATCACAGCAGCAAAGCTGCTAGTAGCCGTAGCCTGAGCTGCAACACGCAGCCGGAGCAAACTAGACAAAGCTTCTAGCGTCGTTGACGGTGAAGAAAGACCGCAGGCGTTGGTGCATCTCGGTCCCACTTAGCAGGATACATCTTTTAAAGGCCATATTGCCCTCCAACCCAATATCGATGGCCTCCAACCTAATTGCGATGGCCTCCAATCCAATAGCGGTGGCCTCCAACCAACCTAGAGCGATGGCCTCCAACCTAATAGCGATGGCCTCCAGCCTAAGAGCGATGGCCTCCAACCTAATAGTGGTTGCCTCCAACCTAAGAGCGATGGCCTCCAACCAAATAGCGATGGTCTCCAACTGAATAGCGATGGCCTCCAACCTAAGAGCGATGGCCTCCAACCTAATAGCGCTGCCCTCTAACCTAATTGCGAT